GGAGCCCTGCCCTGCGCGGTGTGCGGCCTGTTGGTGACACGCCGGTGGCCACCGCAGGCTGCCGGGCGACGTGGGTCTTGTCCTTAAATTCTTTTATTTTTTAATTTTTTTTCATCTAGTTTGTGGCATTTATTCTTTTTTAATATTATGTGTGATGGTTAATTTTATGTGTTAATTTGGCTATGCTACAGTTCCCAGGTTTGGGGTCAAACACTATTCTAGATGTTTCTGTGACGGTATTATTTCTATTTTTTGAATATATATTTTTTTATTGACTTCAGAGAGGAAGGGAGAGGGAGAGAGAGAAACATTAAGGATGAGGGAGCCTCATTGATCGGCTGCATCCTGCACACCCCCTACTGAGGTCCCCAGGCCAATGCTCTATCCACTGAGTGAACCCGGCTAGGGCAAGGGAGAGGGGTTCTTAAGTTCTCTCTTCACTGACGCTTCCCAGGGCTGGACTCTTGAGAACCAGTGAGGACCGCAGGAATCCAAAAATTACAGCCCCGCTGTACAGGCCGCAGCGCGCCATCATTCACCCTCCTGGTCCCGGGTCCCAGGGGCGCAGAGACAATGGCTTCTTATTTTCCCGGGATCTACTGCGCCGTGGCAGGCAGAGGCCTTCCATGTTGTCACACGGCTCCAGCACGGGCCTCCGGGATGCCCCAGGTCCCCCAGCCAGTGGTCCCGGCTGCCAAAACCCTGCCACAATCCGTTCCTCCCAGAACTTTTGAGAAAAAAATGTCAAGGTCATTTCACAAAGCTCGGAAATGGAATCGAAATCCACTCCCAGTTCCCGCCCTCTTCCCTCTAAATCTGCTTGTCCTAAACCTCTTCTGGAGAAGACGACCTATTATACCTTATCAGCTGCTCCCATGTCTTAAGCGTGTGTCCTGTGGTCATGCAAAAACTCCTACACCAACAACAATTACAAACAAGGCGTGTTCCTGATTTCCTGATTCCAATCTGCTTATGTAGGGCGTTACCCAGCCCATCGGAGGTGTTACTCCCTGTCAGCCACTGCTGGGTGCTGCCTCCCAGCCTCTCCAAGCCTCGGCCCCAGCCCACTTCACAGGCGAGGAAGGACTCTTCCCGTCCCCGCTGGATGGAGGCTCGGACCAGTGTGGGTTAAGGGCCAGCCACCCAGCTGCCCACTCGCCCCATCGCCCCCCTCCCCCGGCTGGAATTCCACCTTCATGAAGGCGAACGGACGCATTTGCCCTCCTTCATTTCCCGTAAGGAGATGACCGGGTTGGGTGTGCAATGAACAAAAGGAAAGTGAATTTGGGCCCTACCATAGGAACCCAAAGAGCTTCGGGTGGGGGTCTGGGTGCTTAAACTGCTTTACTTGAGCCACTTAAAACCTCATCGGATTCAGGAAATGAGCTCCCTGTCCCCCCTACCTCCCACCCCGTCTCCCCCACACTCAAGGAGGAATCTGCAGCCTCGCTCTCACACGCAGCCATTAGAACAGCATCCTTCACCCAGGCTCAAGACATTGACTCCTCCGCCAAACGCTGGTGAAAGGCCACTTGATTAAGGAACGGTCACTGAGAGGTGCTCTCCAGGGGTGTGGGTAGCAGAGCAGTGTTTCCCAGCGCCCCCACCCCATGCACAGCCCAGTGCTAAGAGCAGAAAGGGCGCTCGCTCCATGGAGCTCGTTCACAATCAGAGGACCCGCTCTTCCCCCCACACTGCACGCTGTTACTTGGCCCAGGTGACCCGGCACCCGGAAGCCGCTCCCCCATACCTTGCCTGCACCCGCAGATCTGTGGGAGGCCTGCTCGGGCCTGGGGGCTCAGAGCCCGCTCAGTCCTCCACTAGGTGCCAAGGGCCAGGCGTTTAGTCGGAGCCTCCACTCCCATCTGAACAAGGGCCTGGCCTCCCGCCTCCGGAGGGCCTGGGGCCTCTGTGAAGCCTCTGTCTTGGAAAGTGCTAGAGTAACGTTAGGGGTTCTAGTAGTTGTCTCTGCTCTTTGCACTTAGTGGCGGATTAATTCCCGTGGCCCCAGGGGCAGCGGCAGGCACTTGTGGGTCACGTGCTGTGGAACTTGTGTCCACAGCTGTGTGTTCACCAGAAAGAGCAGTTGGGCTCCTCCGTGAGGCGCTTGGCTCAAGGGCATCGCAAGAGCCTTGTCTTGTGCAGACGGCAGTTCTCATTTTGGCCCCGTGTGCTAACGTGATGCCTCGGTTTGCTCAACTGTGAAATGGGGAGAATACCTTCAGTTCCAGGGGAGTTGTGCAGAGCGGAGGCCACTCAGGCAGTCGCCTGGCTTACGCCTAGCCCGTTTGAACACACACGCACACCACCCCCAACACCCTGACCCCAACTCCCAGTCAGGAGGCCCAGACCCTGCCCGTGAGGCCGCGTGTCTCCTGCTCCGTGACACCACCCAGCCTCCCCGACTCCCACCGCGGGCCGAGACAGCAGACTGAGCCCCAGCTGCCCGGGGCCTGCAGAAGAAAGAGGGGCGGACAGAACCTGCTCCTCCCTCGGTCCCCTCTCCCTGTCACTTGCCACGGACCCCTCTCCAGACTAGACAAATGCACACTTTTTAGAATACAAGATCCCCTCATACAGGAAGTGTGAGAGCGCATTCTGGGCAAAGAGACACAGAGGGGTTTATAGAGTCCTGAAGATGTCAAATCTCTTAGGGTGGGATACTGCCGCCACTGCTGCCCTGTTAGAATGTTCTAGAACAGTGGTCGGCAAACCGCGGCTCGAGAGCCACATGCGGCTCTTTGGCCCCTTGAGTGTGGCTCTTCCACAAAATACCACGTGCGGGGGCGCACGTACAGTGCGATTGAAACTTCGTGGCCCATGCGCAGAAGTCGGTTTTCGGCCTGGGCGAGTCTATTTTGAAGAAGTGGCATTAGAAGAAGTGGGGGTACATTTGCTGAGGTCGATCCCTCAGATTGAGGACGTTTTTAGCAAAGGCCAGCTTAGGAGTACCCTAATTAAGTTAATAACAATGTACCTACCTATATAGTTTAAGTTAAAAAAATTTGGCTCTCAAAAGAAATTTCAATCGTTGTACTGTTGATATTTGGCTCTGCTGACTAATGAGTTTGCCGACCACTGTTCTAGAATAATGGAGTGCCTAAGGAGGGGGAGTCAGGGCTCATCCTGGATCGCCTGCAGGCTCACCCCTCTGCAGGGGGATGGGGTCAGCACCCAGGAGCAGCAATGGGGAGCTGAGTACCCAGCAGGCGAGGTCCCCTCACCCTGGAAGTCGGCAGTCTGAGGGAGGAGGCAGGCCAACGGCACAAGACCCATCTGAAGGTAAGGAATGGGCTTCACTGAGCAGCGCTCCAGCCCTGGTCTCAGTGGGAACATTCCAATGATGGCATAAGACTCAGGTGGGCGAGGATGGCGTCCTTCCCTATTTCTTACAAACTGAATGTTGTTCAAATATTTAACCTTTCTGAACCTTAATTTCCTCACCTGTAAAAATGGTGAAGACACTCCCCACCCCAGAGCTCTCGAAAAGGAAAATGAGATCATGCACACAGATCCTGATGTGCTGGCCTGAGACAATAAAAACCGTTACTTATTTTTTAAAAAGTAGCCAGGGTGGAGGCTCCATCACAGCGCCTGTGATGCCCACAACGGAGCAGCAGACACGACCACTGTGCCCAGCTCACGGGCATGGAAAGCAAGGAGCAGAGTTGGGGCCAAGTCATTGGCCCAAGGTCACCAAGGATGGAGTCTGGGTGTGAACGCGCGGCGCCCTTGCCCCTCGGTGGGTCTAGGAGTAAGTGCCTCCTTATTAAAGAGGCAGGACTGGGAGGCGCTGCATACTTCACAAGTGTCACCTCATCTACTCCAGAAGCACCTTTTAAACATATAAGAAGCTGTGAAAAAAATACTGCTTCTTGTAAAAAGCTGTTACCTTGCGCGGACTGAGTTCCACAGCCGCACGCACAGCTTCCCCCGAGGGTGCTCACACCAAATGCGGCGCAGCCCCGGGGCAGGAAACGCCGCTCACATGTTCCTGCTCCGGGCGGACACCTCCGCGGAGCTGCAGAGCTCAGTCTTAGCTTCCTCGTCTATGCAATGGATTTAATGCAACACCTAACGTTCAAGCACTCGAAGCCACTTCGGCGGGCCCCTGACCTCCTCTCCGCCCGCCCCTGGTCTGGGAAATCACAGGGAAGGCTTGCTCTTACCTCCCTCCTTATCCCAAGCGCTCACCCGCCCCATTCAGGCCTTTGCAGCGGAGGACCAGCGCACCGGGCTCTCTCCGGCACTCCCGTGGCCCCAGTTGGCGCGGAGAAGAGACAGCTTGGGGAGAAAGCAGGAGGCGCCTGTGCTCCCACCGCGCACCGCCTCGGCAGCCAGGGCGCTCTTAGGCCCGGTTGGCCGCCGGATCCCCAGAACTAAGCGCTCAGGGAGAAGCCCTAAGGGCCCAGCGAGGTCTCCACTGCGCCCCGGGGCACGCAGCCCTGGCCACCAGGCAGGAGCCAGGCCAGCAGGCTGTGGGGCAGAAACGCTTGCCCTGGAGGAAGCGGGCAGCAGCAGCAGCGCCCAGGAAAGCAGAGGGAGCGAGGGCTCGCCTATGCCTGACCTCACCTGCGAACCCTTAGCCTCAGGTGTGGGGAATTCGCAGGAGCAGGGCCTGCGGAGGGTCCCGGGCTCCCCCAGCTCCCCTTCGGATGGATTCTGCTTCCCGCGACAGCTTCCTGCCTGCGACGGTCTCCCCAAGGGCCTGGGGAAAGGGGAACCTGAGGCTGCCCCTCTCCGGGGCAATGCTATACCCCGCCCCCCAACAGACCCCAGCGCTCCCCACCCCTTCCCGGAGACCTAGAAACCAAGTGTACTTTCAAACCAGAACGCCCGCCCGCCCTGGGGCGGATTCATAACCACAGTTTCTTTTTCTTTTGGAGACGTCAGAGCTGCCCCATTTTCCTTCCAAAGCTGGGCTACATCGATTTGTTTCCCAGGCCTCGGCCCGGGGTCCTGGGGAGGCACGAAAAACAGCCTGTGGCCCATCTACATGGCCGTCACTTTATTGGGTTGTCACCTTTAACTTAACTATAAATACTACAGCGAACGCGAGCAAGACACAGGTGGCTTCGGCTTCGGCCGGACTGCGGGGCTGTGAGCCGCCGCTGCCCGACCCGGCGCCGGCCGCCGGGCCCTCCCGGCTCTGTACACTATTTACAGCTCCTCCTTCCTCGTTCCTTGTCCCGACCCCTCCTGCAAGGCAGCGTGTGTGCAACAAAGTAGCATCGTCTGTCTGTGCAAGTCCTTCCCGTGAGGCAAGCGCCAGGCCGGCCTGCGGCGGTCAGCTGTCCGAGTCCAAATCGCTTTTACCTTCCTCTTCCCTCTTCTCCGGCGACGCCTTGGAAGACGGCTTGGTCCACTTCTCCGCGTTTTCCGACTCCTCCGACGAGGACCGCTTCTGCCGCCTCCACTTGGCCCGGCGGTTTTTAAACCAGACCTGATGCATATGGAGGACAAAACAACAGTTACCAGCAAAGGCGCGCTCGCTCCCCCAGAGCCGGGGCACCCGGGACCCGGAGAGCGCCCGCGACAACAAAAAGAAAGGAGACTCGCTCCCTCTGCCGCATTTCCCGTCAACTTCCTGGGCCTAAAGGGCCCTCCGCAGCCTCCCGGCCACCCCGCCGGGAGATGGGATATTGTTTAGTATGGAGAGGCCCGCGGAGCGCGGACAAGCCCGGCTGGGGCCCTAGGATCTGGGAAGGGCCTTGGAGCGCAGCGCAGGGCCCGCGCCTACCTCCACCTTCTCCTCCCGGAGGTGCACCTTCCGGGCCAGCTGCTCGCGCGTGCCCACGTCCGGGTACTTGGTCTCCTGGAAGAGGTTCTCCAGCGCTTCCAGCTGCTCATCCGTGAAGATGGTGCGGTGCCGCCGCTTCCGCCGGCAGTGCAGCTGGTTGAGGAGCTGCAGCTCGGAGCGCGACAGCGTGCCCACGTTCATGTAGGGCAGCATCTGGTGCGGCACCGGGGACACCAGCACGGAGCCGGGGCCCTCGTAGCCTGCGAAGGAGCGGGGCGCAAGGTCAG